ATAATGAAAGCAAAGCATACAGTGACCACAGGCTATAAAGCTCCAAAACACTATAGAAGTTCCATAAATCTAAAGCATATGATTTATAAGTCTTTGTGTATTTTTGTGAGGTCAATTCACTGATTTTTAAAAAAGAAAAAAAGTGATGCGTTACAAAAAAATCAAATGATTATTATTATAATTATATCATGTACTATATATAAAAATCAAATAAATGTAACAAAAAAAGTGTCACTGTATAAGGTTAAGCAGACACAAATTGTAGGCATGCAACCCAAAGGCAAAAAAAAAAAAAAAAAAAAAACACACACACAGACCAATCCTGTCTTCATTTTTTCAGGTAATGAACTCATTCGGGAGCCAAATGCGAATCTCTCGTTCCAGGACTGAAGATTGAGCCATACATACACTGCCTGATGTGAAATCAGCTCGAGGAATGTCTGCGGCCTAAATATCCGATTCAACGAATATAAAAGAATCCAGATTAACTCCAGCAAGACTTAATGGCGGCTGCAGCTTTGTAGAAATGCGCCAGAGAAACATGCATTTACATGCCCGCTCTTTCAATCTAATACTGCATCCGCTGGAATCACTCCTCCGGGGTATAATGAGAGAGACACAGTGAGAAAGGAGATAAAGACAGATAAATACACAGAGAGACACTGAATGGAAGAGTAAGGGCGATGAGAAATGCAGATGACAAATTCCCTGTATTGTAAACTTGGCACCTGCTGTTGTGCAATAAAGCCCATGCATTTAGCTTAATTCTTTTCCCAGACGAACTATAGGAAGTATATTGGATTTGAGGGGATCGGTTTTCAGCTCGAATATTTTCACCGTGATAAATTTCAGCATTAGCCGGAATTAAAAGGAAGGAGCAGTCAAATGATACACTGCTATCTTGAGGCATTGAGGCAGGAATAACAGTGCAAAGTGATGCCGGTGTCTTAAACAATTCTCCTACATGCTACAAAAAAGCGCTCGGCTGTGGTGATTGATTCCCGCGTGCTGTGAGAAGTCCTTCTGCCTTTCACTGCCAAATAAAAGCTCCTATACGCACTCCAGAGATGGCTAAGGCATACATCACACACATAAAGGCTTGAGAGGGAGAAACAAAGTGAATGCCTTTTTGTTCACAGAGACGCAGCGACTGCCACGACGCTGAACCGAATCCAAACAAAATGTCGTTTAAGGATATAATTTCAGGACGAGTTGCTGTCAGTACATTGGCAGAGATTGAAGGGCCCTTTGTAGGTCACACACAGTGACAAGTGACCTCCTTAGGGACTAATCTTCCGCTCGCTGCTTCACAACTATTTACCAGGCTGCCATGGCAACCGAGACTGATATCCGAGCGTTCGGATCCCGCCTCTCGCGCTGGTGACCTGCAGCAAGGTCAGGCCAAAAAGATAAACAGCGCACGGGTCTCAACGTTACGCAACTCTCCCTTTGACAGAAGGCAGATGTGAGCAAACGAATGCTCTTTTTTAAGTTGGTGCCAGCCGTGTAAAACAGAGGCAGGCAAGATGCCAGCGCATGTTTTGAAGGCACGGCGTGTGAGCTCTCCCTTTGATTCTTCAGACAAACCAACATGTTGAAGTGCTTGAAGAATATCTATTATTCACAGGGTGGAGGACCCAGCGTTCATTTAAGTGTCAGGCTGATGAGATATAACACGCGCTGTCGGGAGCGCAGACTTAACAACGCCTCTCACCACATCTGCTCGTTTGTGTCGGGGCCCCAAGGTTAAGCATCTTTAAGTGGTACGTCTTCAAATACAACTATCGTTTTTGTAAATAAACTTGAAGTTCAGGTTGAGGTATGCAGTTGGAAAACAACAAAGTCGTTTATCTATGCTGGGTCTAGCTACACTCATTGTGTGTTCACACTAGAAGCTGACATTTTTTCAGGAATCCCGCGGGACACGGAAATCCCGCGGGATGGGAAACAAAATCATTATGTATAACGGGACTGGGACGGGAAGAAATGTCAGGGCGGGACAGGGAATCGTAAAACTTTATACCCAACTTTATACACAAATATACAGTTTCTATAAATACATTTTGAATTAAATTGTTTTTGCCTCGTCTCTTTATGCTCTCCTGTTTGCGTTGGTGTGGCTGGTAAATTGAATGACGTGCTCCACACACCCACCATTTATAATTACCCGTACTATCCTATAATATACTGTACATAGCTGCCAGTGCCAACTCTCATGCATATTGGCCATGAGACACCCGCATTTGATTGGTTTCAAACGCCACACCCCAATTTCTCACGCTGAAGTGTCAACCTGGAGTGCGTTTCCCGTACAACGACATAGTTCGCTGCTTCACTACCATAGTACGATGCATCGTTGGAAAAATCAACTAGCCAGTCGCGACTGTTTCCCGAAACCCAACGTTTTTTGTAGCAAAGTATCGTTCAACCATGTTGGTTTCGCACGTGGTGGAGTAATAACTACTTCTATTGAAACTGTTTGAGATCCAATTAACGCTAGAATGTTTATATATAAATTACAGACATGTCATCGGAGGACTATTTCTAATTGCTCTCAGTTGTTTTGCTTTATTACCAGACTCAATATTTGGCTCGTTCTTCCATAGTAGACCACGTTCACACATGCGCTCTCTTTAAACACCACTTCAAATCTTTTGATAAACTAAAAGACGTAAATATAGAAACGATGCCTCTAACCACAGGTCGAGAGCTGTCGTTCAAACCACACAACTTTGCGATGCGGTTTTGCCAATGTTCGTTGGAATGATGGTTTCGGGAAACACTGACTCGTTGAACTATGCTAATAACGATGGAACTTGCGACCATAGTTGGCTAACGATGCTTTCGGGAAACGCACCCCTGATCGATCAAATGCCTGGAAGATGAGTTTTTCTATATATCTACCTGTTGAGCCACTCGTGATTGAGTAGTTATGCCGCAAATTAGTTCAATTCTCCCGAAATCTAGAGCGAACGTGCACGCGAGACAGATATTGTGCTTCAAACCGCCTAGCACACGGGACACGCACACGGGGCAGAGAGGGAAAACGAGCGAGAGACCTTGCGAGTGTGCGTGTCATCCAAACCACCCAGTTTTACAGTTTTTTTTTACGGTAACTACAGATTCCGGTCAAAAAAAAAACACAACACGGGAGTGGGAGGGAATAGGAGTCATTCTTCTGGGATTGGGACGGGATTGGATGTTTTTTTCGTGGGATTGGGGCGGGACAGGATTTTTTTTTGTGGGAGTGGGATGGGAGAGGTTTGAAAATCCACCCACCTGTCACCCTCTAGTTCACACTTCGCAGGTTTGGTTAGATTAAAAAGAACCCTGGTGTGATTGCTTTGTTAGTGTGGTTCATTTGATTACTGTAAGACTGAATGCTGCCAGTTGAACCCTGGCGCACCAAACAAGCAAGCCAAGACCCCTGAAAAAGTCTGCTTCCAAACGAACTCTGGTGCGGTTCGACTGAAATATGAATGCAACACGGTCAAAAGACATCCAAACAAACCGAAAAAACTGAACGTAATACCACATCCCTAAAAAAGCATTGGTTTGGATGTTTGACTAGTTCTGTCTCAAAAACAAACAAACAAAAAAAAAAAATATATATATATATATATATATCTTTAGGTTCGGTTTTAAAAATGATACTGTGAACACTAAGCGAACCAGGACTAAATCTATTATTTTCTTGGTTCGAAGTAAAAGAACCAAGAGATCCGAACTACACGTATAAACACACCCTTAAAAGCAAAGGTTTTTGAAGCGATGTCATAGATCAGGGGTGTCCAATCCTGCTCCTGCAGAGCTCCGGCTCCACCCCCAATTGAACCACACCTGAAGCAACTAATCAAGGTCTTACAAAGCTAGAAACTTCCAGGCAGGGTGTTGAGGCAAGCTAGAGCTAAACTCTGCAGGACATTGGTCCGC